TGGCAGCAAGGGAAGGGGGATGCTTAGATTTGAGGTGAGCAAAAATCCATCTGCAATAGTTCAGTCCTGTGTCAGAAAAGGGATGGGAGCACTTTGCTTTATCCGAATCATCCTCAGGCTCACTCCCAAGCCCCCTCTTGGAAGCCCCATTCCTGCAGCTGAATGCCACGAGAGCTGCACCCCTTCAGTGAGCATTGTGGCTCTCACAGCCATAGAGGGACACCAGAGCCAGCAGGCTGAGAAAATGAGATGATCTGAACAAGAGCTCATATTTGAACGGTAATAAGCAGGGGGAAATTCAGTAAATGCAACAAATGCTTGAATAGCAAGATACAGTTCAGACTGAAACAGTTATCCCTGGGAAGCAGCAGGAGCCTTGTTGTGGGAGTCATGGCAAATCAGTTGCAGCTTGCACCCAGCACAAACACGAAGGCTAAGTTAGTGCTCCTTTTTCTCCATGTCTTGGCCTCTCAGAACAGCCATTAGAACTCCCTGCCCTTCCAGCAGCATTTGGCCTTCAGAGCCCTGCGGCACAACTTCACAGTCGGGTGGCAGAGCTGCGTGCTACAGGCAGGCAGAAAGGGAAAGTGAGGCACCAAGACAGAGCACGGACCGTCACCCACCTCCTGCAGCCCTCAGAGATGCTGCACCAGGACCCTTCACCCCTCCATCCCCAACAGCTGCAGCCCCCAGGAGCTTCCTCCCTGCTTTTGGAAGGCACAAGCAGCTGAGCAGAGCCACCCCTATCCCCCCAGCAGCCCCAGCTGCACCAATCCTGACCATGCTCCGTGCCATGGCTTACCTAGGATTGCGTTTCTATCAATCACAGCTCACCTCTACACCTTGACACGTCCCCCCTACCCATGAAGAATCCCTAAGGACGCCACTCAGAGCCTTTTTGTTTTGCTTTCAGGTTGGTTTTGTGATATTTTTTCTTTCCTGTTGCTTTCTTGATCTTTTTCAAGGTGTTTTTTCAAGGACTTTTCACAGGCGCCATTGTCTGCTACTGCAGAGTCCTTGAAATCATTATAATGATAGAAGCTATCTAAACCCTTAAGCTAAAACCAGGAAGAAAAAAAAATCTAAAAGGAACACACTGGAAAACGAAATCTGTCCTTGAGGCCAAGAGGACGTTTGCCAAAGCATTTCCTATCTCCACCCCCCCCTCTTCCAAGTGATTGCTGCTGGTGTGCTTGACCAGGAGAGGACCTCCTCTCTCCATCTGTGTGTGTGCCCACCGCCCACACCACGGAGCACAGCAGTACCTAATACCTAGATTCCTCTTCCCGCAAGATTTTTGGGGTAAAGACGCATGTAAATATGATTAGTTAGCATGCAGCACACCAACGAGCAGCGGGATGCCTTCCATGGGTCACAGCTCCATCTACTGACTATTTCCTAAAATAACAGAGTGAAAAACCTCGGGAAGAGTCGCTTGAAGAGAGCCACATCCTTTCGGATGGACTCAGGGCATTTTGGCTCTTGGAGGTGAGTGAGAAAGAATCCCTTCTCAGAAGGGGACACGAATCCCTCTGCTTCACAAAGGCCTCTCTGCACAGCAAATGTGGGATTGCATCCGAATGCAGAACTGCAGGTCCTGGGATTGAGGTTTTCAGTGTTTTCAGGATTGTCACCACTGTGGTTTTAGCAGCAGACAGCAAACACTTGGAGCTCAGCATCGTGGCTCAGTTAGGGTGCAAGCCCTAAATGGAAAGCACTGTTTGTTGGCTCTGCTGCTATGTGAAACATGGCAGCAGCTGAGCACCATGTGATAGGAAAAGAAAATGTCATTTTACAGAGAAACTGTGAGCCCAGAGCGGTGTCACATGCGAAGGCTGGGGAAGATCAGGGAAGTGGATGGGGATCACTCAAGCTGCATCCCCCTGTAAGCACCGGGCCCTTCTCAGGTGCACAGAGGATCTCCCTGAACCATAAAGGAGATCACCCCTCCCCTACACAGAGGAAAGAAGAATAAAGAAAAACACTGCCATGATTTATCTGCCCAGAGGGAAACAGACTTCTCCAAAGCTCAGAGGAGACCTTGCCCTTGCAAGCCTCGTTTGCTGATGAGGTCTCCAGATGAATTCTCTTCTGCTTACCATGTTCCATTGAAAAAGAGGCAGAACTGAATCAGAGGCTTTTTACAGAGAAATACACACACTAATCTCTCTGAAATAGCAGCGAACTTCCACCAGAAAGCTGCCCGCAAGGAAGCTGAAGATCACAGGGCCTGGCTTGGAGCTGTCACAAGACTGAAAGACGTGACAACAACTTTCTTTACAGGCCATTACAGCAGCGATACAGAGTGCTGTCCTTTTTAGAGGCAAAGGGAAGATCCTTGCAGGCTTTGTAACGTGCATGCATGTACCACGGGTACAAAGCAGGAGGTTTAACACCCGAGCTCCCATCACTTCAGCCTGTACAGGCACTGTCTTCCAGCACAGCCCAGCAGCCCAAACCAGGCTGTTGTGCTCACACTGGTCCTCTACCATGAGCTGAACCCTTCTGTGGACCCACATCTGAAACAGCACAGCATGGCATTGCATTTTGATGCCCTTCCAGCTCTACCCCTGCAGACTGCTGGTGTGCTCAGCCCTAGGCAAGCTCCTTGTTCACACTCCTCCTCTCTGAAGATGTGTTGGGAGAACAGGAGGCACTTCAGCCCTACCAACCCCACTGACAAACTGGGATCACCGGGCTGCAGCCTAATCAAGATCCTCTCCACTCTAATCCATTGCATGATCCAAGAAATATGGCTCCAAGGAAGGGGAGCAAACAAAGACAGGCTCACAGCCTTCCAGCTCTCACCTTCTCCTTCCACCCATTCCTCATGCTTTTCCTGCACACACTCCAAAGAACAAAAACGGACAAATCACCTCCTCTCATTCTGGCACAGGGTACCTAATGTCAGACTTCCCCTTCCAAATTCAAGTTTGGATTAAAGGCACACGAGCAGCACGTTGACAGGAAGCCCTGTTGTGTGAAGCACAGCCTTTCCCACAGATTGGAGCTCCAAACTAAATCACACGAGGACTGAACTGCCCTTGGAGCAGCAGACAAAGCACAGACAAGAGAAAGCCAATTCCTGACCCCCCTCTGAAGGCACATTTGCACAAGGACAACATTGCTGGGAAATGAACGTGGCTCAAGGCTCGCTGATGGCTCATGGAAGAGTCCAGGCTGTGCTTACACATCTTTCTCTGTATTTTGTCCTTTCCATGTTATTATTTAAGACAGTTCCATGAGAATGGGATCTTTGTTGCTTAGGAGCATATCTGCTCCCACTGCTCATCCTGCTCCTGAACTCATAATCTTATGTGACATCAAAATCATTTCCAGAGCCACCAATTACAACACCATCGAGGATTATGACTTCAGGTGCAGAACTTGCAGTGGGAGCAGATGTTCTGCTCAGAAAAAAAAACACTTCAAAAATTGTTTTCATACAAATGTCTCTGTTAATAAAACACAAAAGAAGGAAAGTAGTCTGGCAGCCAGAATTGTTGCTAAAAATATAGTTTTCGACATTTTCATGGGGCATCTGCTGCTCTCTGGAGAGTTCCCAGGAGGTACAGAACGTAGTAAGAATCCATACACGATAAAGAAAGAGAGAAGGGAAACACTGAGAACGGCATAATGCAGCTCAGTAAGCAGACAATGGAACTTTGGCCAATGCTGCATTGGTATCTCAGGGAGGAAGGCAGACCAAGAAAACCAAAACCTGGATCCTTGGTTCTTTTTAAGGATCACAGAATGGCCCGGGTTGAAAAAGACCACAAAGATCATCCAGTTCCAACCCCCTGCTATGTGCAGGGTCGCCAACCAGCAGACCAGGCTGCCCAGAGCCACATCCAGCCTGGCCTTGAATGCCTCCAGGGACGAGGCATCCACAGCCTCCTTGGGCAACCTGTTCCAGTGCCTCACCACCCTCTGGGTGAAAAACTTCCTCCTAAAAGGATCCTCAGAGCACTCCCAGAATCAACCAAGGACTGACTGGACAGATACAAAGCCATCCCAAAAGAATGCAGAGCCTTCCAGAGGCTGCAACAAGCAATCCTGTGTGCGGTTTGATAGGTGGCTAATATAGTCATAGGCTCTTTGGATTTGATCCTCAGAAACGAGCCAAGTGTAATAAGTCATTTTGAAGCTGGAGAAAGGCTGGGGGGAGGAGCACCCTTTAGGATGCAGTAATAACACTGCGTGATTCAAAATTTGTTAGAGCTTAACAGGGCAAAGCAACGGTAGGTGACAAAGAAAACAGATCGAAGGCGGAGAAAATGCCTTATAGAGAACAAACATAATGCAAAGTCTGCTGCATGGGAAATATTTTGTAAGACGACTGCCACTATGAGACAACTTCAAAATGCCAGGCGTAATTAAAAGCTCTCTTTTCAGATGCAGTTCACGGCTCAGGCACCAACGTTTCCCACCACGTGAGCCTCAGATCGCTGCGAGGGGCCCAGCAAAATGCATTTAAGAACTGTCAGACGTGCAAAGGCAGTTTGTAACCAGCCTCCCCCCGGCGCCCCCCCCAAAGAAAAACCCTTCACAACAAACCTTTGAAAGGCTTTGAATTGCGCTGCCAGGGGATTATCAGTAAGTGACATTTACAAGTGATTAGAGGACCAAGAATTATCTTAGTCACTTGTGGGAAAGGAGGAAAGCTTCAAGGTCAGACCTCTCAGTACTTAAAATGTCGGCAGATGTTTTGTTTACACAAAAAGTGACGTTTGATTTATGATGGAGCTTCCAGGGCTTCAGCTCAGAACTGCAGAGAACACGAGTGGGAACGGAATCAAAAATGCATATCATACCTTCAAATATTCCACGGATCAGCTCTTATTAAACTAAGAGGCCGTTTCACATGCCAAGTAGTCACACAGTACCTTTTAGCTTCTTGGAACAAGTGCTCCAAGCCATATAAGCCTTGGCAAGAAAGGAAAAGGAGATAAATCCTCAACAGCTCCAGAAATCCCACATCAATCCCCTCCAGCACTCACCTCCGGACAATAGACTGCTGGAGATTTCTGCAGACAGTAAGAGATTCTCCCATAAACATGTGGCACATGACGACCTCAAGGCAGTTGGCCATGAATGACATCACTGCATCAGACTGCAGAGTCCCACTCCGGGAGACGATGCAAAGCCGCTGGAGAGAGGAGCAGTGACTCAGGGCCTGGAAGAACTGGGAGCCTGCACTGAAGTACGGCTGCTCCAGCCTGCAGAGATCAACAAAAGCAAGTCAGTGGGCAGTTCAGGCTTGGGTCGCTTTCAGACAAGGGAGAAGGAAGCACATTTGTGGAGATTTGGCCAGCAGAGCAACCAGCCTCCCACCATTCCACACACCCACATGACAACTTTCTATCTGCTTGGGCATTACAAGTTTGACTTTGCAAACTCAGGCCTCTTGCCCCCAAATTACACAATCTGAAGGACGGGGACACAAGCACGTGGAAAGGCCCTGAGCTGCAGAACTCCATAGAGAGGCCCTGGTTTAGCAAGATTTCCACAAAACGTGTTGGGTAAGAGGGGCTTTGGAGGCGGATGAACACTGCCCAGCTTTTGCTGCCTGACATAACTGAGCAGCCAGTGTGGATTTAGGGACTCGTTGCTCCAGTGCACCAAGCATGGGTCAAACTGGTCAGCTTTAAAGAGAAGACAGGCGTGAAAAATTCACAGCACACACGTGGTGACCTCGTGCCTCTGAGCCAACAGCAGCCCTGCCCATAGGATGGAAAAGAATCAAAGCTTTTCTCTCCCCAACAACAAATACATTGAGCCAACTTCCATCTTAAACACTTGGCCAAGAGAAAAGGGATGGGATTTTCTACCCCAGCGCTCCACAGCCTCACCTCCCAGTCCTGAGCTAAGTGACAAAAAGGCACAGCGAAGCCATGCTTGACCAACAAGGGCTCTGTGTTTTAACTAGCAGCCCATCTGGATGACTCCCTTGCAGAAACCAGTTTGCAGGACACAAGAGCTGCCTGGGGCTGATGCCAGCAGGAGAAGCACACCTGCTTTGCACAGATTTACTACAGGACCTCAGAGCACGTGGGACTCCCAGTCATTGGGTCAGCAAGGCCAAGAGCTCCAGAAGGTTAATCCAGGAGGTGAGAACAAGCTGCCAGCCCCAAGCTGACCTCCGGATAATCTCTGCGTAGGTCTCTGTAGTATGGGAGGGGAATCTCAGCAACTTAATCTCATTAGTTGATAGATTCTGTTTTCAAGTCACAGTCCGAGACCGCCTGAAAAGATCCTACCATTTCTTCAGGCAATAGCTCAAAATGAATATTAAGGAAATAGGAACCTTCTCCCATTTTTCAGCAGTGCAATTGGCCAACTGTCAGCTAAGGACAAAGCAGGGAAGCCCTGCAACCTCTCAGAAGGTTTCTAAGTTACCCTCGGTAGCACACAGCCATGCTTGCAGTACCGCTTCTGCCCGCTAGACGGCAGTGTTGCTTTGCAATATCGCCTGAAACCAGATTCTCAGCCTGGAAAATGGGCAGAGAAAAAAGGGTAGAAGAGCCAGAGAACTAGAGAAATGAAAAGGAAACTGCATTATCAGGAGTGAGTGCTAAACATTAAAAGCCTTTTAAACCTATGTCAAACCTCAGACATCACTCGAGGCACAATGACAGCTTACACCAACACGCCCGGCTGCTGCAAGGAGACAGCCCTGCTCATCCTCCACCCAAGGCTGTGAGCAATAATGATGGGAGGCATGCACAGCCTCCATTTCTAAGGCTCCGGGAAATACAGAGCCAAGCCAAAGCAAAGCAGCACTGCACAACAAAGCCTCCACCCAGACCTCGGTGGTTCCAAGGCAATTCAGTCCTTCAAGGCTAGAGATCCATTCACATGACCCAAGCCATTAAGCAATCGGATCTCCACCAGCTGCTGCCCCCTGGATGAGAGCAGCACGCTCCTCACCCCTTGCAAATGGGAAGCAGTGGGAAACAAAAAGCCTCGAGATGTTTTAACTGCCCCAGCTCCTTTCACTACTGCAACAGCTTAGGAACATGCACGCAAACATCAGCCTGAGTTGATGAAGAACAGTTTTAGTCATGCTGCAACTGTCTTTGAGAACGTAGCTATACACCATGTGGGGGTGACCTTGCTTTTACTATTCTTTTGCATTTTAAACCTCTCCTGTGAATAGAGAATGGCCACTGACCCAGCAGGACTAGCATTTCCACCAACACAAACTGCTCAGGGGAGGGGGAAGAGGAAACAAATCAGCACTTTTTCTAAAGTAGTAACTTTGGGTCCGGACTTGGTGACCTTAGAGGTCTTTTCCAACCTAAATGATTCTGTGATTTACAGACATCGTATTTACCAGTGCAAGGAAGTCACCACTGTGAGATGGGTTCATAAGTTCTTTGGCAACAGTGAAGCTCCTGTATGCATCCTTCAAGGTCAGATCAACGATCCGAGAAGTGAACATCGACACGACAAACTCTACAGAATGCTTCCAACATATTATCAAGAAAGGAAAAATATATGCAAAAAATTAGGAGGCAAAATCTTAAATATAAGCCAAAGGCAGAAAAAGATCCCAGTGGGAAACCAAACGCTACATTATCTAGCCACTGTAGGAGTCCTTTCCTTCCTGGATGCTCAGTAAGTGTACACATCCACAAAGAACATAGCATTTCACCTAGTCCTGAGAGCCTGACACCTCCCAGACATGCTGGGTCTGCTTTTCCTTATCTAAAAGGAAGACAGTTGCAGCATAGAGACTTTAAGCTGCTAAACAGTGGTTAAAAGGCATACCCTGAGCCCTTGAAAACAGCACAAGATGCCTTCCTGTTCTCCACAACTCTGGAAGAAAAATAACTCTCAAGCCATCGCAGCCACTTCTGACCTGCTGCTTGAGCAGAGGATGACCAGCACAGGACCACTTGCAGTTTTTACACCAACCACAGCAAAACAAGCACTCCATCTCCAGAGCTTCACAAACAATGGAGATATTCAATGGCAGCCCCTCACCTGAGATCTCTCAAACACTTGCAGTGCTTCAACATGTCCATGAGAGCAGACATATACACCATTTTCCCCATCATGCCCAGGTTGGACAACGAAAGAGTCCGCAAATGCTGGCACTGCAATCCAATGCTAACAAGCCCAGAACCAGTAACAATATTTGGCAGTTGTGCTAAGGTGAGGCTCTGCAAATAAGTCAGCTGGCTAATGGCAGCCACCTCCGAATCCCCCACGCTTTGTGCTCGGACACAAGGAGGCAGAGAGTTCCGAATTGCTGGCTCATTGCGGGGCATGGCAGAGGAAAAACTGGACCCAATTATTTCTAAGGTTTCCAAAAACCGGAGGCTTCTCATCAGCGTCCAGAATACTGAAGACTCCAACTTCTGACATGCCTGGTCTGCTAAGTTTCTCGGATATGTCTGCACCCCCACACGGGTTTTCTTTCCAAACGTTTGGGGCACCGCATTAGGCTGCGTGGGAGGCTTTTCCATGTTCACAGCAACATCTGTGATGGAACAAACTGGTAGCGCTAGTGAGAGTAGGTGCTTTAGCCTGGACAGGAGCTGGCACAAATGATTCCCTATGCTTTCTGAGCTGTGGTGGTGAGCTGCGGAGAGGTTGAGGTGTCTGAGGTTGCAGCAAGACATGACCAGGCTTTCCAGAATGCTACTGTCAATGTCATCTTCTGCTCTTCGAAACAAAGACTCCGGAGCCAGGCAATGAACACAGCCACTGAGATTCAAACTGGTCAAGCTTTTAAGGTCCTTCCCACCATTAATAACTCTCTGGATCAGGTGGCCACCAGATAACGTGCATCGGCTAAAGCTGAAGTAGAAAGGGTTGTTGAACTTCAAGTGTTGCAGGAGTCCAGAACCATTAAGCCAGGCTTTAGGCAGTTGTAAAGCATCCAGGCGTACATTTCGAGCCATTGAGTCCAGAAGGTTTTTAGTGGCTCCTGTCTCAGCAAAACTCCCAGGGGCAGAAATAAGGAAGGCATGAAGGTTCTCAGGTGTCCGATCGCTTAGCACAGCCAAGTACAGCCTCACCACCTCCTGATTAACATAGCCAGGAGCCAGCCTGGCATAGAAGACACGAAGGTTTTGGTAGTGGGGCACATTGCTCTCACCCACCATTAGCTGTCCAGACAGCATAAAACCTTCTCGTGAGCGATCAAGAATCTCAAAATAAAGCAGCAGTTTCTCAAGGCTAGTGCAGCAAGGAACAACACCGTATGATGGAGTGTAGAGGGTTTGCTTCAATTCTGACACACGACTAAGGGTGGCTTTGCATTCGCTGCTTAGCTGACTGGCATCAAAACCTGGGTTTACATCTATCGCCAGGGAGCGCAGGTGCTGAAGCGTGGACAGCATCTTTGAGAGACGGAGAGAGGTGATGCGGCACCCAGACAGGTTCAGTTTTACCAGGTTCTTGCACCGTGTTACATGATCAGTAGTGGAGCTGGGCAGCCAATAGCACCCAGCCATGTTCAGCTGGTAAATCTCTTTTCCAATATCCCTCATCAGTTGCTTCACTTTGTCTTTGTTTACCTGCGCTCAAACAAAACCAGATTCAATGAGATATAAGACAGTAGCATGTAGGGAGTCAGTTTCTCATCTGAAGATGGGGACAGCACTGGTTAGCTCTCACAGTATGTAACTCATCTAAGGGTCTTGGATCACTAGCCCATGCCTCAGCATTTGTCAGCCATGCTTTGGACTCTAAGATTAGAATTCCTTCAGCTTCTTAGTCTGTGCAGTTCTGCATTACCGACTGAGAGGCTAAATCTGTCCTCCATCCCACTGTCAGCTGCTGAACAACATCCATTTTCTAATGGCTAAACTGTTTCAGCAGAAATAGCTGAAACCAGCTGAACTGGTCTGCAGCAGCACAAATTAAAAGAATACTTTCGTTCTCCTTCATCCACTTTCTTTTGGAAACAAATAAGAGAGGCTTCTCTTTGCCTACAGCTTGGTGATGCAGTCTTCATAAAACATATTATGCTTCATCTCTAAGTTTATTTTTGTTACAAAAAGTATACATTTTCTGAATTAGCTGACTGTGTGTCTGACAAATTTATTTGCACAACACAGAAAATATATTCGGGGAAAATTACAACTTCATCCAGCCATAAAAGGCAGCTACAAATGGAAAATTGAATTTACTTTCATTTTAGTTTCCATAAACCCAGAGAAGTTAAATGAAATACCATCAGTGAAAACTAAGGGAGCACAGAGCTGTCCTAACAAAGCATTCTGGAAAACAAATGCTTTTATAAAACAGTTTATTGTTTATTCGACTTCAGAGTTCAAAAGCAGGACATGCATGCAGACATACTGAAAAGTTCTACTTCTTGACATTTTTTCAAAAGTCAGGTTTCTCTTCATAGCTAATAGAAGAAGCAAGCTACTCTCCCCACCTTGTAGTCTTTCTGAAGTAAAACTGTATGGGTTAGACTCTTGTCAAGGCAAAGCGTTGAGAGCTTCCTGCAGGTCTTCCTGACGTTCAGGACCAGGTCTGTGCAAGGGACGTAGCTTAGGATGTGCAGAAGGATCTCATCCGAGAACTCCATCAAGTTGATACCATTACCTTCCTCCTCATTCTCCCCACTCACAGGATCCTAAAAGAGATAAGAGGGGAAAAAAAAAAAAAGAGGAAAAAAGACAAAAAAGAAAAGCAACCAGTTCAGATAGTTGAGCAAATCTTATGAGAAAAGAGATACTCCGAGCCTCAGAGAGACCTGCAGACTGAGACAAAGCAAAGGCAGAACACGAACCACCTGCCTTGAGAAACCAGTGCCTTTCCCTTAGGATACAACACGAGGTGCTGCAAAGCCTCACACAAAGCCACGGTAGCTCCGCTCGCTCCCTGCCTTGGGCCGCTTCAGAGCACAATGAAAACGTTGACGCTCATTCCCCTCCTGCCACTCGCTTTGCAACTGGAAGCGGCAGCCCTCAGAGCAGCAGGCAGTTCCTTCCCACTTTTTTCCTCTAAGAGGAGCCCATCCCAATAACCTCACCGGTTATGTAACCGTTTATAGGCTAAAAAAATCCCTCTGCAGCCCACGGCCACCTCAGCGAGCTCACAGCGCGGCCGCGGGCCGCAAGGGCCGCAAGGGCCGCTCAGGGATGGCCGCGGCCCCCCGGCAGCGACACACCCGACAGCCCCGCTCCTACCTCAACCCTGCGGCCGGAGGCCCGCGGCCCGCCGGTGGGTCTGAGGGCAGCCGGGCCTTCGGCTCCATCTCTCACGAAGATGAATCGCCGTCCCTTAACGCCGTGCCGCCCCCGAAGGGCCGGGCCGCTCCCGTCCCACAGCACGGCCCTACGCAGCGGCCCGGGCTGCCCCAGAGGAGCGCCGGCCCCCAGCGGCCGGCAGCCCGGCCCAGGACCCGCGGGGCTGAGCCCACCGCCATCCCGGCCGCTCCGCCGCGCCGGCTCCTCCCCGAGGGGCTCCGTCTCCCCTCAGCGCGAACGGTCCCACGGCTCACCTCCGCACAGCGCGACATGGCGGCAGCCGCGGGGTCCCGCCGCGCCCGGCTCAAGCCAGCCGCCTCCCGGCCCCGCTCCGCACCGCCGCACGGCTCTTCCGGCGCTGCCATGACCCGGCTTCCGCGGCTCGCCACGCTTCCGCCACCGCCATCTTGAGCGTGGCCGCGTGAAGCGGAAGTGAGGGGGCGGCCTCTGCGCGACGCCATCCTGAGAGCGGCGGCGGCGCCGCCATGTTGGGGGTGATAGCTATCTCAGGCAGAAAGGAAAGTCACAGAAAGGACATTTATGTAATTAACCCGGGCTTTAATGAGCTGAATCTTCCCCCTGTGGCAGCAGGTGTGGGAGATGAGCTTGACGTGTGCTGGGGGCCATGCAGAAGGCATCCACAGCTGCTGCGGGTGCAGCCATTGTGCGTAGCGGCGCCCACGGCTCAGCGCTCCCACTGCCAGCTCGGCCTCGGGAACAGAGCGCAGTGCTGGGGGTCCAGCGTGTGCTTTGGGAATGTTGGTCATAGAAAATGTGTTCTAAACAGGAAGATGACTAGGTGGCTGCTTTCTTCCTCTTTGCTTGCTGCTGCTTAAGGCCACGAACAAGATGAGGGATAGGCTGGATTTGGGTTTAGGGAATGCTCAGTGCCTGTTTTGCTTCCAGGCCTGTGAGCAGGATGCCGGCCTGCAGAAGCATCCCTTCTCAGCCCTGAGATGAGGGACAGCTTCATTAGGAGTATCAATACCCGCTTTTCTGTCATGTTAAACAGAAGATAATGACAAATTCAGCACGCAGGACCTTCAGTCAGGGCTGGCTTGTTTGACGTTTAAATTGAATATCAACATACCGTACTGCAGTCAGCAGGGAAAGCTGAGACCAAGGTGGAGAAAACTTGCATTTCCAGTGCAAATGTAAATAAGATCAGAAGCAGAGCCCACAAGCAGAGTCAAAGCCCTGCCCTGTGCCAGGTCAGCTGGAGCAGCTGGTGTGAGGACTAGCCGTGGTTCCCTGCAGGCCTGGGCTGTCTGTGGACCAGGCAGCAGTTGCCAACCCTGGATAAAAGCCGGGAGCTGAGACAGGTTAAAGAACCTCCCCAGGAGGAACCACTCACAGCGGCTGTAAGAGGAGCTGAGCTCAGTCTGAAGGCCCTCTGAGCAAAGGAGCAGTGTGGCGGTGTAGATAAGACACGAGGCTGAATACGAGGCAGCAGCAGGACATCAGATGGGCTGTAAAGGAGGAAGGAAGCAAACAGAGCGCTGGCATTTCTCTTGATGGTTGCTGGGAAGCTGTCAGTGGGTGAGTGCAGAAACCTTCCCCGCTGCTCTTTAGTTCAGGAACGCTCTTCCCACCGCTGGCACATGGGAACCTCCTGTGAAAATGGCATCAGTTCAGTGCTGGTTTGTCTCCAGGCAGACTTTGATCATGCTATGACTCATACAGTTTTCCTAGCCCAAAGAAGGCAGGCGCATACCATGCTGTCCCGGTCCAGGAGGGCAAACAAACAAATCTGGTGCTAGTATCAAGATATTGTGTTCTGTACAACATCTCTTCACAGTTCATGGCTGGACAGACCTGGCGATTTATTTATTTTTTTTTCCCCTGGGAAACTCTTGAGTCATTTCCCTCCTGTGGTTCTTCTTAACACTGATAAAGTTCGAACATCTCAACTTTTTGACAGCATAATGAAAGCTTGGTGGTCAGAGCGCTTTGTATGCTTGGGCAAACTGCTGTCTCCACTGCTGTAAATGGTTTTCGGTGCTTGATACGATTTAATACAGTAAGGCCTGCTAAAGTAGATTACAGATGGGTATAATACAAGCCAGGGCAGGCTTGAGGTCAGCATTCCCTCTGCAGAGACCAACTTCAAAGAGCAGGGCTCCTCCTCCTCCAGCCGCTGTCTCATCCATGAACTGACACCAAGAAAAGCCCGTTTTCTGAAACCATCACTTTGTGCCCTCAGAGGGCACTTCCACGAGGAAGCCAGTTGTGTTTGAACGTCCTGGGAAATGGGACATTTGCAGGCTGCCAGTGTGCTCTAACAAGAAGACAGAATCCCCCCCAGCCAGGGGCCATTTTTGGTCAGCGCTCTCTAACAAAGCTTGAGGCAGCCACACAAGGAGGCCCTTCAGGGCTAAATCCTGAGAGCTGCAGCCATCTCCTTTGCCAAGGACATCACTAATTCCTGGCGGTGGCTTGATTCCGTAAGCGGCTCAGCGAGGTGACTTTCCAGGTCACCAGCTAATTGCAGGTGAAGTGCCAGCCACTGTCTCCAGCAGGAGCGAAAGTTGGGAGCTCTGAGGGAAGAAAAGGAATAGAACGTTTGCTCAGCTCCACTCAGTTGAGCCAGTTCCCCCTGGGCAGTTATAGGGAGGTGAGAAAGGGCTGGGTGGCTTGCAACAGTCTGTGGCTGATCCCTGCCGTCCCTGCAGCCGGAGACTCCCAGCACATCACAGCCAAAACACAAAGATGGAAAAGATTTGGTTAAAAAAAATCCCCCATCTCCTATGCCCATCGTTTCTGAGAGGAAACCACCTGGCTCCCCTCCGCTTGTCGGAGTTGGGAGCAGTGAGTAATGCTTGCAGGCTTCCCTGCCCAGCACCACATTCTTTTCTCCAGCATGTAATGGCCCAAAGGAGGCATAAAGTGAGCCTTGCTGGAGCAACCTGCAGAGTAGCTGTGCACGCCATGGGCTCAGGCTGGAGAAGCGGTGGGAAGGGCTGCAAAATGCTCAGCCTCATTTTATTGGGGGGCTCAACGCCTGAAGCAGCAAGAAAGATAGGAAGAAAGGAAAAAAGAAAAACCTGTGAAGTGTTAACTGAAAGCTTTGCTTTCTGCTCTTTGAAGCATACAAAATCAGCTCAGCTCCCCGGCCCATTACTCTCCCTGCACCCTCTGCTCTCAACCCCAGGCACTTTGCAGCTCCTTGCCTTGCTGCCACCGTCTTCGCTGCCGTTCTTTGTGCCTCAGCACATTTTTCAGGGCAATCAGTGGTTGTTTCAGGGAGGACTGAAGGCAGAAGAGCAGACGTGCCCCATTTCCCTGCCGCCATCTCCACTCGCCTCCTGGCCTTTTTCCTGCTCCACTCCCACCAGCTGCCTCCCCAGCGGCTGCTGTCGCCTCCTCCTCACCCTGCTTCCCCAAGACCCCGGGTTATAAGCCCAGTTTGGGCCCCTCCCCAACCAGTTACATCTTGCAAACCAGTGCTTCCAGTAACTCATTTGCCCGGCCCAGCGTCTGCACCCGCAGCCCTGCCAGTCTCCTGCCACATTAGTGCAGCCAGGAGGGAGGCTGGGGAGACAAAAGGAAGAAACCAGCAGGTCCACCCCGAGCACAGCATGACGCTGGAGAATGATGAGGCCAGGCAGAGGATTAAAAGAACCCATGGAGCTTGTTCCCTGCCTTTCATCTGCTGTGAGCGTGACACAGTCACAGCCATTAGCTCTTCAAAGCTGGGCAAGTTGGAGGAGCCTTGGAAAGCCAGCATGCCCACAAGCAAGGCTGCGAGGTCTTGTCTGCTTAGGCTAGCAATGCAATGCAAAGCATCACCTGGCTTTGCTCTCCCTAAGCCCTGACCCTGCAGCCATGTCACCGCATCAGCGAGAGCTTCCTCTCCACACCCTTTCCCAGCCCCACCCCTGCAGTGATGTGTAACAGCCCTGTGGCCCTGCTCTCAGAAGTCCATTTCATCCACTTCACTGAAGACTTTCTCCTACCCCCACCTGAGGAGCTGCTCCACCCAGCAGGCAGCCTGCCAGAGCCCAGGCCTCCCACTTTCCTGGGCTGAAGCAAAGGCAGAGCAAGCTGCTTGTCTAGAGATACCTGGAACTGGAGGACAGAGGCCACAAGCAGAGACACTTCTTGGAGGAGGAAGAATAAACTACCCCGTGTCAGAAGCCAGCTGCTCCTCGGTACCACCACCACCCCATCAGTCAGGTCACACAGCAGGACGAGGGTCACAAGCAGCAGCACAGCTTCAGCCCCACTGAGCCCAGCTCACCCTCATTCAACAGTCCCCTACAGAATGCACCGATGGCAGCTCAGGACTGAACTGGAGCCAAGCTGCCGCTTGCTGAAGTATCACCACGGTTTATCCAGCCTGTGCACCAGACAGCACCAGCAAGCACCCCACAGAGATAGCTGATCCACACAGGCTGGCAAGGCTAGATGAGAGCAGGAACCAACTGTCAAGAAGCATCACAGAAATAAAAACCCAACACCAGTCAAGCCTCTATTGTGTGCACTTTTATTTGAACTGGTCTTAAGTCAGTGTACAGGTAGCCCCTCCCTCCCCCACATACTGGCACTTTACTCCTAGACTGTGGGGGACTGTAAAGCCTTCATTCACATCTATCACTGGGGAACACAGCCCGCTTGCTTGACAAATCAAAAAGGATCAAGTGTGTTTTGTTTTTAAGGCGGAAGATACAAAAAGACACTTGTTGGGTTACATAATTTACAGACAAGCAATTATCATCTAACACCAGTAATTGGTACCGGCTCCTCCCAGCTGGGCTGTTGCCTTCACAGAGGCGAGTAACTTCCTGTAACAATGCATTATAACAATATTTGGAATGACTATTAAAAAAGAAACAAATGTACAATCAAAGTCCTCAGATGCATTGTAGAACTTTGGGGGCGTTCGCTCCAACATGTTTCATTTTAAGACTGCTGCTGACACCTTCACCATTCCAGTTTTTTAATCCTGAGTCAAGCGCCAAAAGAAAAAACAAATAAAGCCATGCCAATCTCGTCTTGTTTTATGCGCATTTATGGGTTTTGTTTCATCACAAGGGTGTGGGTGTTGGTAACAGTCCGGTTTAGAAGCATTTGCGGTGGACAATGGAGGGTCCGGATTCATCGTACTCCTGCTTGCTGATCCACATCTGCTGGAAGGTGGACAGAGAGGCCAGGATAGAGCCTCCAATCCAGACAGAGTACTTGCGCTCAGGTGGGGCAATGATCTGCAGGAGAGAACAACTGGTCAGGTGCACTGTGATGGCACACACCTCCTATGCACAGCCCTGCTACCTAATTCCTTTATCTGGCCTTGGCCAAGGCACTCTTTGAGTATGAGCAGGCTTAAGGCACAGCCTCACACAGAACACCCTCCTCCCCCACTCACAACCAGCACTTAATCTCATTACTCACACAGCTGAGTGGCTGCCACCCTGCCCAGAGCAAGGCCATAAGGCTCCACCACTAAGACAAAGCAGTTTCCATCTTCTGTAGTAGTTTACTTCAGCCTCTTCCACCCACACAGCATTAAGAGGCATGCTCGAAAGAGCCCAGGGCTCCAGCCTACCTTGATTTTCATTGTGCTAGGTGCCAGGGCTGTGATCTCCTTCTGCATCCTGTCAGCAATGCCAGGGTACATTGTGGTACCACCAGACAGCACTGTGTTGGCATACAGGTCCTTACGGATATCCACATCGCACTTCATGATTGAGTTGAAGGTAGTTTCATGGATACCACAGGACTCCATACCTGTGAGCAAAAAGCAGAGTCAGGTCAGTAAGCAGTTCAGGGACAAGGAAGCCAGAGGACCTACTACCATGGGAAAATGAGAGAATCAAAGATCCCATAGTAGGAAGCAACACAGCCCAACAAAGCCACAGCTGACAGGCTCAGCCTCCTGTTCTACTGACCTAGGTACCTCAATTATCCTCAGGCTGAGGAAGAACAAGACTGCAGTGGAAAGGGACAGACCTGCTAAGGGCCAGCAGAATTATAGCAGCTGACCAGTCTCTAAGTCACTCTAGGCAGAAGGGGCATGGAGCCTCCTAAAAGGAGTCAGACTTACCCAAGAAAGATGGCTGGAAGAGGGCCTCAGGGCACCTGAACCTCTCATTGCCAATGGTGATGACTTGACCATCAGGGAGTTCATAGCTCTTCTCCAGGGAAGAGCTAGAGGCAGCTGTGGCCATCTCCTGCTCGAAATCCAGTGCGACGTAGCACAGCTTCTCCTTGATGTCACGCACAATTTCTCTCTCAGCTGTGGTGGTGAAGCTGTAGCCTCTCTCTGTCAGGATCTTCATGAGGTAGTCCGTCAGGTCACGGCCAGCCAGATCCAGACGGAGGATGGCATGGGGGAGGGCGTAGCCTTCATAGATGGGCACAGTGTGGGTAACACCATCACCAGAGTCCATCACAATACCAGTGGTACGACCAGAGGCATACAGGGACAGCACAGCCTGGATGGCTACATACATGGCTGGGGTGTTGAAGGTCTCGAACATGATCTAGAAAGATAAGAAAGTACTGAGTCAAGCAGAATAAACCAAGGTTCTCACTGCATGCCTCCATCAGTCCATGCATGTGGTTTTACATTTGTCCCTAGATAAGAGGCTTCTTTGCTCCTCTAGAAGGAGATATCAGTGCTTATCTCACTTGGTCTCCACCCACACCTGCCAGGTCAGAGCCTGAGCAAGGACACTGCTACCACAGGCCCATCCACATGACACAGCAAGGAATGAAACAAAGGCCAAGAAACTACAGTATAGTCACTCAAAGATGGTAAATGGATTAGTGTCTAGTCAGAAACAGCAGTTAGACAAGTTGCTAGTTCAGTCTCAGAGAAAGCCAGCTTAGAGCAAACAAAACCTGTCAAGGTCCAGCAAAGAGGAGACTCAGGTCAGGAAAGGAAAACCCTGTAAAGATGGCAAAAAGGGAGAAGTGGTGAAGGCAGATAGAGGACAACATGGAAGAGGAAAGCTGGCCTGCAGCAGTACCTGCTGTAGCTCCAGGCTCAAGAGTTTTACACACCTGTGTCATCTTCTCTCTGTTGGCTTTGGGGTTCAGGGGAGCCTCTGTGAGCAGCACAGGGTGCTCCTCAGGGGCTACTCTCAGCTCATTGTAGAAGGTGTGGTGCCAGATCTTCTCCATGTCATCCCAGTTGGTGACAATACCGTGTTCAATGGGGTACTTCAGGGTCAGGATACCTCTTTTGCTCTGGGCTTCATCACCAACATAGCTGTCTTTCTGGCCCATACCAACCATCACACCCTGCACAACAAAGAAAAAGCATTAAGTTTAACTGACAGGCAAGCTGCCACGGATGAATGAAGTTTTCTTCCAGAAGCCACACCTTTAATTACTACTAACTCCCTACTATGCCAGGGAAAGGACCGTGCCAACTGCTCCAACACAGCATGCTCTGCAGGAGGCTGTGTACCCAACCAGTTACCGTTGCAGGGTAGAAGCCTCTCATGCCACATACAAAAATAAAACGGCTTCCTTAGGCTTAATGCCCTCAGCAGAACCACTCCCACCGAAGGCTCCTCTCTATTGTCTGGACGCAGCACCCAGCCGCTGCCGTACCTGATGTCTGGGGCGACCCACGATGGATGGGAACACAGCACGGGGAGCATCGTCCCCGGCGAAACCGGCCTTGCACATACCGGAGCCATTGTCAACAACGAGCGCAGCAATATCATCATCCATGGCTGGCTGCGGAGGAAGGGAGAGCGGAAAAAGACATGAGCGCCGCGGGTCACACACCAGAAGCCGAACCCCGCCTCGCTCCCAAAAGGCGGCCGTGCCCGTACGGCTGCCCCCCGAGGCTGAAGACGCAGCGGGGAACGGCGGCGCGGCGGCGCACGGAGGCCGTTCCGTTCCCCACCCATTTCCTTCCTGCCGACGCCGCACCGCTTCGCCCCGCGCCCGCTAGAGGGGGTGCGGCGGCACCTCCCAGATTTCGGCGCCGCACAGATTTGGGACAAAGGAAGTCCCTGCGCCCTCCGCACGATTACCATAAAAGGCAATGGCTGCGGCGAGCCGCGCCTCGACGGCCGCCGGCGCTCCGGGGGCCGCCGCGCCCCTCCCCCGAGCCCTCCCCGGCCGGAGCCCCGCCCCGCGCCCCCACCTGCCGCCACCCCCCGCCCGGCACGGCGAGCCCCGCACGGCGCCCCGCACCCGGACAGCCGCGCTGCGCCCAGCGAGCGGGCGGACCGCA